TTTTAGCAAATTTTTTGGGGGGGCACCTTATCAGAAGCCTTCCATTATCTAAATAATATCCACAAAAAATATTATAGATTAGTAACAGACAAAATTTCCTTTTAGTAAATTCATGTTTAAGCTTTTAAAGCCCAGATATACTTGTGACAAAATAACTTTTTAATTAAGAGTTTAATTTTGTGAAATAGTCTCCTTGATAATAGGGTGTTCGCAGTTAGTTTGAAAAATTTTTTGAGCTATTTTTTTAAATAAAAATAGATGTGATGGACTGTATTTTATTTGTTTTTATCTTTTGGGTGGGTGAAAAATGGCCTCTTGAGGTTGAATAGCCTTCTGTCATTTGCTTAGTTTCTTAGCAATATCAAGAATTTCATTTAATAATTAACGTCTAATACTAATGGTGGACATTACTAAGATTTTATGAGAGAGAGAGTCGGTCTTGAAATCAATAATACCTGTAGGACTAAGAAAGTCATGAGTCAGTAACAGTCCAGTACCTGGTTCATAGCATGGACTGAAGAAACACAATTTGCAAATGGAAGATGTTATGAGTACAAAAGAATAAAACATGTTTGCCAGTTTTTGCAGTACTATATTTTTCATTACCATCAGAATAATGTTGACTACCCTCCCTCACAACACCCATACTAATAGTAATATTTCGTTACTTTTTTCTTCTTATGCAGAAGTTGCATTGATTAATAAAACTGTTACATTTGGCCTTTTCATATAATATTTAAAGTTTTGTATAGTAATACTATTATTACTGGTTTAATTTGAATTATGTGCAAAGCTACACGAGGGCTATCTGCACTAGCCATTCCTAATTTAGCAGTGAAAGACTAGAGGGAAGGCAGCTAGTCATCACCACCTACTGCCAATGAATAGTGCGATTGACCATCACATTATAATGACCCCACAGCTGAAAGGGTGAGCATGTTTGGTAGGATGGAGATTCGTACCCACAACCCTCAGATTGTGAGTCAAGTGCTCTAACCACCTGGCCATGCCAGGCCACTATTATTACTATTACCCCAGTTCTTAATGAATTTTTCTATTAATTATGTATGCAAATATTTTGATCAATAAAATTATTGTGGTGTATATATGGCAAATTTTATGAATTTCTATCAAGACACAAATTGTAATAAAAAGTCAACAAGATGACAATCTATCAATTATTGTAAATGCCCCATGTTGAATTTAAGTGAAGAAGAAACCCAACCAAAAACAAAAGAGTTAGGATTATATTTCTATTGTGGTGATGGTGGTTGTGGTTTTAATAATAATTATTATTGTTACTATTACCATTATTGCAGTCATGATTATCATTATTGTTGTAGTATTATCATTCCTAATAAAATTATTGATGTTCTAGTTGTTACTGTTGCTGCTTCTGTTATTACTAATTCTACTGCTGTAACTACTACTACTATTCTTGTTGTCCCTGCTGTTGGTGTTGATGCAATATTAACACTTTCTGTGGTTCTTACATAATGTTAATATCATGATATGTAATATGTATGTACAATGATTACAAAATATTTCATTTGCATGCTGATTCTTACATCTTAACAAAAAACAAACATTTTAATTTGATACTGTTTTATAACATTTTTTCTACCTGCCTGAATCATAAATGTAAAGAAATATGTTGCGACCATATGTATGGAACTTAGATTATAAAATTTATTTTTTGTTTCAGTTTCCATTTATAGATGAATAACATGATGACTCGCCATGTGTCAACTTACCATGATTTTTGTTCACAATACTTACATACATTTCAAACATTAACAAAGGAATAAAAATAATGAATGAATGATGAGCAAAGAAAGAGTAAAAATAATGGGGAAAACATCTGATAAAATATAAAAAGAATTATGAAAGTTATGGCATCTTGATGTATTTTTACTGTGGTGGGGGCACTTTACTTTAAAACTTGTCAGGCTGTAGTACAGTGGCTAGAAAATTAACATTTTCTAAAATTTGTAAAAATAAAACATTTTAATTTGGTACAGTGACAAATTTTAGAGACTTACATTTCAATCTACTAACATTTTAAGTTTGGTAAAATGATAATTTAAGATTTAAATATGAATTATTTAAAATGTTCTCAAACATTTATAAACAAAAATATTTCATTTGACAAAGTGACAGTTTTAATACGTACATTTCAAATTGTTAAAAAATTTTTAAAACTTGCAAATAAACAGAAAATTTAACATGTTACAGTGTCACATTTTAGAACAACTTTCCATTTTTATTGTAACTGTTTGGGTATGTTTCTTCCTGTTAACTTATCATAGTTTTTTTTACTAGCTGAAGAGTTGATGGTAACTGTCAGTTTTTGGTTTGTAGAAGTGCTCTGCTTTCCCAATAGTTTCTTGGAGTTTTGCAGGAAGTAATCAAAAATGGGTTTCCTTTTTAATGGTTGCTTTGAACTCCAAACCTCTGACAGTGTTTTAGTCATCTGCTAGAGCATAAATATCTCATCCATTAAGGACTTGTTCCAAGTTTTTGTACTGTGCTGATACATTAGTATAGTCAATACAAGATGTATGCTTCCACTGCTGTTCTTTGTCTATTCCATTGTCAGATATGCCAAGTTTGTTATTATGGGTTAGAGGCAAGATATGTTTCTCAAAGTAAGAAGCAAACTTTGAAGTTAATTTTTAATGCAGTTTTAAGTGTATCAATCTGGATATCTGGAGTTGATCACTGATATAAAGTGAACTTTCTTTGAGGAAAGATATTTATGCAAAGAATGGAGCATTCCTACTTTGTCTTCTAAGTAATTCTTGTTTTTACTTTTCAAGTGATGCATGGAGACAAATAGGTGAGCAAATAGAAATGCAATCCTTATGGTTTTTAGAAACTTTTTCATCACAAAGCTTCTCTGCAAGATTGGAAAAAGTAGTTGATATGCATCAGTTGTTGAGTTTCCATGGAGACAAATAGGTGAGCAAATAGAAATGCAATCCTTATGGTTTTTAGAAACTTTTTCATCACAAAGCTTCACTGCAAGATTGGAAAAAGTAGTTGATATGCATCAGTTGTTGAGTTCCCATGGAGACAAATAGGTGAGCAAATAGAAATGCAATCCTTATGGTTTTTAGAAACTTTTTCATCACAAAGCTTCTCTGCAAGATTGGAAAAAGTAGTTGATATGCATCAGTTGTTGAGTTTCCATGGAGGAATACTGGTTTCACAAAGACTGGATGGAGGCCATTACTAACATTCACAACATGAAGTTGCTCGAAGACACCAATGGTGACAAAAATTTTGCCAAGGCTGAAGGTCTTGTCAAAGTTTAAGATAGTGTTTCCACATCAGCAGTGGGTCTTAATGTCCTGTACCTGTTTATCTGTGTAGTTTGCACTTTTCTACTGTGTGCTTTGTGTTTGACAAAAGAGTGGCTCTGGGAAGCCATATCAGCTAACTGTCATACATGGTCTGTAATGTACTTCAATCCAGGGGCACTATTAGTGAAAGCTTTGGAGTAGTTATGCTTGGAGACAGCTTGAATGGGTAATTAAGAAAAGCTTTAATACAAGTTTAACATAACGGCAAATGTATTTCTTGCTGCAAAGTTGATGCAAATCTCTAGGGCCATCACAAGTATCACCATCCAGTACGAGCTTGTTGCATATAATGTAAAAAGGTGTTATATTTATTATTAGGGACTAATAATGGCTGGAGACGGCTTGAATGGGTAATGACGAAAAACTTTAATATAAGTTTAACATAACAGCAAATGTACAACATTTCGACAAGGTTTTGTCATCATCAGGTACCCATTCAAGCTGTCTCCAGCCATTATTAGTCTCAAAGTGGGTTCCTTGTCATCGAATTATTATTAGGGAATTTTCTTCTCCATTATCACACCAGATGTTCAGAAATTGTGTTGTGTCTTTTTAATAGAGTGCCCATGAAGTGCATGTCAAAGAAACTTGCCAACATACTTTACTAATGAAATAAATAGCTTCAATACTATTAAATACATAAATTGTTAATATGTGATTAAAATCAGCACTATAAAACAATAATAAACTTAATATAAAATAAGCATTAAGAAGTTTTAACAAAGAATCCATTGTTAATCCCAGTCATCACCTTAAACTCATAACGAATAATGCCTGTGGTAATAGTTCCCACATGCATTGGGGATATCCCATCTACCAGACAAAATCCAAACACTGATGTTAAACTAGCCACCAAGCATGGCAAATGAATTAACCCTCTCCACACAGGTCACAGGTCAAAGGCCATGTAATCGCATTTATTGAATTGCATTCAAAATTTTATTGAACAACTATTTTATGAATTTATGTTGCAACAGTAGTAGTAATAACAGCAGCAATAACAATAACTACACTGTCAATAATAATATCACAACTACAATAATGTTTAAAATTATGACAGTAACAAGTGTTAATAAGTTTTATTATAACTACAAAAACAATAAAAATATAAGCTGAACTCTGTTTTTATTCACTTATGTTCAATGTGAGGCATTGGGTGCTTGACAAGTGACTAGTGTGTTGTCATATTGCTGCTTTTTCAATTTTTTGACACACTGAGTCTTAATGAACCAAAATAATTTTACTGAATAAATGAAATAATTTATTAACTAGATTAATATAAGCATTTATGTACATAATGTGTACATTTCAGTACTACTAGTACTAGTAGTATTACTAAGAGTAAGACTGTTAGTAAGAGTAACCCTTGCTACTTAACTTCTTAAGAAGGTTGTTAATTCCATACAATAACTTGAATACGTTACTTTTCCAACACTTCGTAATTTGATTACATTAATTTACAGTTATATAAATTAAAATCGAACTGTAATTGTAAATCTGGAATAGAAATAAACTTACACAAAATGATAAGATTTACTAGTTTCATAATTAATACTATTGCTAGTATTTTTCTTATTTGTTTTACGAATTTAAACATTATAATACCAAGGTTGCCAAATTTAAGAACTGACTCACCATAGTCATTGATATTTAAGTCAACGCTATTTTCATTAACTTCGTCGCTTTCCCTCGCATAGGATTTATCTAACGTTGTAGAACCGTAATTTTTATCACCTGAAGACAACTTATTCTCTTCGGGCCTTATTACAGTAAATCTGGTTGCCATTGTTTGAAACAAGAATAAACAACTGCTTTTTGAAAAATTAACAAAATGAAGGTAGCATATAATCAAAATCTCTCAAACATAAAGAAAATCGTGTGTATATAACAATTTAGTACGCGTGGCTGTGATATTTATTATACACCTCAATTTGATGCGCCATCTGCTATATATTATTTTCTAAATAATTTTTCTTAATGTAGTTTAAGACCTATTAAAGAATAAGCTTTTCATACAATTTTTAACTAGTTTTATTTACTTAGGAGCAAGAAATATTCCACTTACATATAAAAATGTGAATGTCAAATAATGTATTTTATATAGTACGATTATTTCTTATAACTAATCCCCCTTTTTGTTTTACAGTGAAGAACCATTAAGGGAAGAAACTTTGAATTTAATTTTTCTATGTTGCCTAGTATTCGCAGGTAACAATTTAACTTCGAAAGTTTTAACCTACTGAAAAATACAATGAGTTAGTTCAGAAATTGCAAATAGGCGAGAGGTACTAGCTCTAGATTTCGGAGCTGGCGATACTACAAAATATTCCTTGTTCTTAAAACTCTGTATATGTTATAAGAGTGACAATCAACCCCTTAGCGTAGATAATGGGTGGTAAGATGCTGCTAACTGGCTACCTTCTCTTTGGTCAGTAGTTCGAAGCTAGAGACGGCAGTAGAAAGCCTCAATACCTCTGCCATAGACATAAATGTGACATATGACTATGCCATGCGTATCTATCTTCTTTTAGTATTAGATATTTACTCTGAATTCATACTTTATTCTTAATTCGTGCAAGTTTCACGCAACACCCGATCGAAAAAGCCGTTAAGTTAATTTTGGTTCACGTTACCTTTTGTTCCTTTGGTGTTCTCAAAAGTGAAAAATACCCTTATATAAATAATCTGCACTTGTGAAATGCTAAAATCAAATAATAATTGAAATATAGCCTTTTATATTTACAAAGTTAAAAATATTTATTAAAGCCGCCAAAGGCTTCCAGATAAAAACATTTTAAATTTTTTAACGTCTTCTATGCCATCTTCAGGTGTTTTTACAATACCGTTGTTTCGCTATTTATATAATTGTTGTAAGTCATGTGATAATACGTTTCCACATCATTTTCCCATGTTACTGACCAATATTTTTTTAATGGCTAATGCCATATACCAAGACCAAATAACTCCTGAAGATAACGTCGAAGATATTGATATATGTAGAGTATTTCTAAGTTGAAGCCGTTGGCTGCTTTTATATATAC